TCACGACCATAGACACATGCTATACCTATGATCTCGACTTACCGAAATTTCTTAAAATGGTAACACTACAACTCACTTGCGATAAGAATGACTCCTCGCTTCACATGGTGGTAATATTTTTTACAGAATGCGAAATTTCCGTAAAGCGATCCGTTGTGCGATGTGAATGCATATCCGCCGCATTCAGTGAGAGCCATAGATACAAAACTATGTCATAGATGAATGATCGGTCTCACTTCAAGCGATATCTATGATTATAACTATGTCTATGATTGCAGCAATTGCTGATTCTGTTTTTCATAAAATGGATTAATTTAATTATTCATTGGTGTCGATTCTGGCATGATTCTCTAAACTTAAACTAAATTTCATCAGAGTATCCTTTTCATTTTGTATAGATAATGACAAGGATACACTATTGTCAAATTAAGGTTTAGGTTTAAAGAATCATCCAAGAATCGATTCTAGTATCTATCTATTAAACTTTTAACAGAATGGTACTCCGCGCACTTGGGCATCGTTCGAAACCTACGACTATGAGTGGAACTTTTTACCAACGTTTAATGTTGACATAAAATCAACGATATTAAATACCCTAGATACAACATCACGAACAAAATCGTGGCTGAAACCTGTCCAAAAGGTAAATTGGACGATACGCGGAGCTCCGTAAGATGATCGCGTAGTCAAAAACAATGTAAGGCATTATTTAAACATTCAAAGTTACATTTAATGCAAAGGTCTTTATTAAAACGCATGCGTCAATGAGTTATGATAGTTCAAAATGCAAGCTCGTAAAATTTTACCACTTATTGCTATACGCGTAAGATTAAAGACCTTATTTCTTTGACTCTACGCACTGAAGATGCGCTATTAGCAACATAGCAGGTACGGACCGCGAGGAAAAGAGACAACTATATTACCGATCATGTATTTGAATATCACGTTTTTGAAGTTATACTTCTTTAGGCGCGTTATGAAAAAATGATGAGAGTGAAATTTTAAGATGCGCGCGCATCACTGTAACACAAAATTTTAACAGCATGAAGTTGGTCGCTTGAGCGACCAACTTCATGCGTTACTTTTGTGTTTACCGCACATTAAGAAAATCTACCATCAAAATAGAAATAGAATCTCTATTTAGTGGGTGCTAACGACTGCATTGTGAAGGCCTATCAAAAGTATTTATTAATCTGGAACAACGGAACCAAAGCGCGATTCAGGAGACTACAGCGCCATCTCTTGACCATTGGTGTAGTAGAACCAAAAACCACATCTTTATTTTTTGTAATAAAGTAACAGTTATAGGTATTCATATTTATAATATTTATCCACATGTTTCTAGTTTGTATATTCGGAATACGTGTTTGAGTTTCATACAAGTGCAAATCACATAAGTTCTAATAAATTATATTCAGTAGCGATTTTAATTGAATATTTTGATTATTTATTTATTTTTTCAAATTAAAACTGAACTTTATTGACTGTGTCCTTTTCCAGACTTTTTATTAATTTATTGTAATTAATTATTTGCATGCAATTAAAAACTAATTTTAAACGATGCCAAAGAAGGATAACTTCTCACGCGCCTACATAAGTACACACACCCATTTTTTTCTATTAAATCAATTTATAGTAAGTATTAGAACATAATTATTTGCTTCAAATGCGTTAAATTTACAAACATTTATTAGATACCTATAAAAAAAGGACACTTTACGTACTATAAGTATATACTATGCATTTTTTCACGGAGCTTTGCGGCATCTTGATTTTCAACAGTCCGCGCGTAACTATGAGTCAAGTAGTGCTAGAGTCGTGTTCAAGCACTTCTTGATTGGGACACATTTTGAGCGCACGTGTTGCATCTAGGGTATTTAATATCGTTGCATAAAAAAGTATGAAACTGATGTCAATTTTGACATTTGTTTCACCTAGAGCGTAGTTTGGAACGCACCCTGGTAAACGAATGCAAATACCCACTAAGGTTATTGCGCGATTTTATCAAAAGCGGTATTTTTCCATATAGAAATCTCATCTAATATTCCCAAAAGTTCAATGTGGAAATTATATTTGTTAAGAAAATCCACTTCCAAACGTATTGCGGTCATTGTTTAGTTTGTTTTTGGCTCATTTGAAAAACTGTAGAAGAGAGGCGAGATGAAGTAAGTTAAATAAAATGTGGTTTTGATTACTGAAGTTTTAATTTATATTAAAATCATTTCTGTTTTTTGCAGTGGTGTCACAATCGTCGCATCCCTCTGTAGAGCAGCTTAATGTGTTGATCGAGTTCCTAGCAGCTAATAGAGATTTAGCTAAAGATTTCTCTAAGAACCTCAGTGCCAAATAAACCTATCATTGCTAGCTCCAACAAATGAGGCATCGACATGCAAAACATTGAGATCGGCATCAACAATCTGTAACAAAATATTTACAAAATTTAATTCCAGTCTTTTAATTTATCTTTACATAATCTTATTTATTTATATGTTCATGAATCATGACAAGTTTTAAGAAAGTAACAAATAGATGAAAATCAGTTAAAGGTGTAGGTACTTACTACTTGAACATTTCTTGCATGCTTACCTTTACGACAATAATACCGTTCTTCATTTTCTTTGGGTCGTATCATGGTGACAAAGATACCATCTATGCAACCAACAACTCCACGTATTTGAAATTTCTCAAAAAAACTGTAACAAAGGTAAAGAATAGCTCATTTAATATTTACTTTACTAAAGTAACTGCCAATAAAAGTATTTTTTTATGATTTCATTACCTAAAATACTTTGAGACACGGGCCCATAGATTTTTTAGAATTCTGATACTGTTACAGGATTGTAAAAGTTATAAGAAACACTGGTCTACTTGATTTATAATATAATATTTAACTTATTGGTTATTCTAGTTAATCAGAGTTTACTTACTGTTCCTTCAACACTTGGTGTTGAGATGCATTTCGCGGAAATGTTATATATTTTTACGATGTCTGGATGACTTAAAATTGAGGCAATTTCATTTATACTTCTTGACATTAATATTAAGCACAAGGCAATAAAGTGAGATCTGAAAAAAATAGGTGGACATGAGTTTTTGAATTATTAAATAAACAATGAGACCTACATTAATAATACTTACTTTAAAAGATCTTCTCTAAACAAAAATCGTAATTTATTAGCAGTTTGTTTGATTGATTGCCATAGCTACACACTAAGTCACTTTGACATAACAATTCGAGTGCGGATCCGAAAGTGAGTGTAAAATTCGTTACAGAATGCCATTAAACTTCAAATCCTTGAGCATATTGTCAAGCTATATCCTGCGTTAGTTCATTTCACCGCCACTCTCGCCTAGTAGCGCTAGTGTTGATTCTCACTTGACTACAGAATGCCAATCATAAAATCCGAAACGGAACCGCGTTCGAAAGTGAAATGTGTGTTTACAGAATGCCACTCCAGGAGTGCAATCTGGCCTTAGGGTGCGGCCAGAGTGCACTCAGATTCAGATTCAGATTCTGAAAACAAGCGCGAGAAATAAACAGTGTAGTCTAAGCAGGTTGCCTGCTTTTTCTCGCGCTTTGTTTTCTGAGTCTGAATCTGAATCTGAATCAGGAGTGCAATCTGGCCGTACCCTTCGACTACACTGTTTATTTCTCGCGCTTGTTTTCGAAATCTGAATCTGAATCTGAATCTGAGTGCACTCTGGCCGCACCCTTACCCTTCGACTACACTGTTTATTTCTCGCGCTTGTTTTCGGAATCTGAATCTGAATCTGAGTGCATTCTGGCGGCAAAGCGCCAGAAAAATAATACCAATTCTAAAGTTAGGGCTAGCGTGCATTCGGGATCGAAATATTAGGTATTCAGTGGTGCCGATTCTGACACGATTCTCTAAATCTAAACTTATATTTGACAACAGTGTATCCTTATCATTCTCTATACAGAATGAAAAGGAGAGTTTTAAGTTTAGAGAATCACACCAGAATCGACACCAGTGTTATTGGTCTAAAGTTATAAGGATTAGCGTGCATTCGGGCTGCAAATATTATGAATAATGTTCTTTAGAGATATAGTGATTCGGGGTTTCAATTATTGATTATAAGTATAACAGTCCATAGGAATTTAATAATTTCATGACGCATCACTATTGTTCATAGACAATTGATCGGAAATGTATCACTATCAAAGAAATGTCCAGTGTTGCCAGATTGGGGTATTAATTTATTCTTTATTCGTGACATTCTTAAACCAAATAAAAAAATCATAGCCATGTACCATGGACTTACCATTGTAACCAAAAGCCCCTTGTCCATGTGCATGCGTTACTTATCCATGTGTATGAGTTACAGGTTCATGCGTATGAATGAAGTATAATCGTAGCGAAGTCCTTACTGTCTACACTTTAATTTTCACTGGCGCCACGAAAGAAGTCTCGTGGAAGTTTTGTTGAACAGATATATACAAGATAATGTCCAATGAATATTAAAGTTAATCTTTTTTTCATGCTATATAAACGATATCAGCGCTGCCTGCTCTGAGTGACATTTTTGATGCTGTGATATCGCAACACACAGACACGCATATACTAACACCAACACCTCCTCATGAAACACTGCCTTTCATAATGCAATTCAAGAGTCTTTATAGAAGTTAGTGCAACTAATAACAAACCATTAACATTTCATTTAGATACACGCATTTCGTTGCATTTTCATAAGGTGAATTCTTAAGGTGAATAAACATAATTTATTTTAAAAAATATGATCAAACCTCTATTTATTTGGAAAATCAAGTTAAGGAAGTTTTTTTCTAAGAAACTATCATGTTGACGTTTAATAATTTTCAATTTGGCGGAAATAAAAAAAAAACTTCTGGCAACCCTGTAAATGTCGTAACCACAGACTAAGTAGAGAGATGCTGCTGCCGTCACTTTGACATGCTTTGACGGCAAACTACAGCTGATTTTGTAACCTTAAAAAATATCAAAATTATTATTCCGTGAGTTGCTGTCGCTATTGGTTAGTCCTTAAAAAACATCAACCATGGAAAAGGTTGTTAAATTTGGTAAAACAATACGTAATAACTGGAAAAAATCAGTATTGGGTGTCGTTGCGCTTTACTACGGTGTTTCTAAAGCAAAAGAAAAATACGAGTAAGTTTTACCTGACCAACTACTCTCTAGCCTTCTTCATAATTGACTGCCTTAATTTCAGATGTTATTCATTACAAAACATTAGTATATCACACAATATGTTAACAATACCTATGCTATATTTAAGAAACAATTTTTTACTTTTGTCAACCAGAATAAACATTTTGATGCGCGCAGCGTGTAAAGAAGCAGCTAAGTATGGAGATTCCCTGATACCCATGGACAGAAATCCCACTCTAGTGACAGTCATATTAAACCCAGTAGCAAACAAAAGGAAAGCCAAAAAAGACTTTGAGAAGTACTGTGAGCCACTTCTTCATTTGGCAGGTTTACAAGTAGATATTGTTCAGACAGCGTCAGAGGGAAATGCTAAGGAAATTGCCGAGAGTCTCCGCGGCACTGAGGCTATCATAGTAGCTGGAGGTGATGGTACTTTGTCAGAAACTGTCACTGGTAAGTTTTATAACTTAACATCAAGTCATACATGTAGTTCTCAAGTCATGAATGTAAACAAATCTAAAATTGAGTTAACAGATTGCAGGGTGCTAAAGGGTTTTTTTTAATTCAATAACTGTGTATGGGAGCGACACTATTTTTATAAAATTAACTTGATAGATCTTTAAAGAGCTCTGTTGTAAAATTTAGAAAATGAAATTTATTACTTTAAAGATCTAGATGTGCAATTTATTTGTGAATTATAAGTCAGTGGCTTTGTAGTCTAGATAATGTATTTTATTACTGCAATGTGAATTAATGTTTTGCATTTTTAATTTCGTTTCTGTCTAGTAAAATCTTGCTTCTGTAATGACTAAAACTGCTTTTAAAGAAACATACAATAAAACATATAAATAAGAATAATAAAATAATATAATTGGTGTTTTTTACAGGTCTGCTCAGAAGAAATGATGGTGCAAATCAGTTTCCACTTGGAGTCCTACCCCTTGGCCGCACTAACACCTTTGGAAACTCAATGTTCCCAGAAGGTAATGGAGTTGAGAAAGTCAAACAGCTCATTGATGCGTGTATGGCCATTATAGAAGGCGATACTGTCTGGAAAGATGCTATGAAAATTGAACCAATTCCTAAAGAAGATGAGGAGCCCAGTAGGCCTATTTACGCATTGTCCTGTTTGGAATGGGGGGCTTTTAGAGACACATTAGCCAAAAAAGATAAATACTGGTTCTGTGGTTCACTTAGAGAATATGCTTCTTTTCTATTCAATGGCTACAAAGAATCAATAACTTGGAACTGCAGTGGTGTCATCAAATACACACCTCCTTGTGCTGGTTGCAGTAATTGTGTCCAGAGAAGAACAGAAGTCAAGAGGAAATGGTTATTCTTCATGCCAAGCACAGAAGCAGCGCAAGAACAAAACGAAACCAAAATTCTGAATCCAGAATGTGCTTTGTCAAAAGAGCTATGTATAAAGACATGTGAATTTAAAATTGAAACTAATAATCTACAAAATCAGCGGAATCTGCCAGCATTGAATGTTATGCTTGGGAAAAATATGTATTCCTACACAGATTTTGTTTCGGAAGGTTGGAGTCGTCTGAAGAAGAAAGCTGCTACACTGGATGTAATTCCGGCAAGGACAGTTGAACTTATTCCTAATGAAACAGTAAATGAAGTTATGATTGAGATTGACAAAGAAGAATTTGAAGTCAAGCCTGTTAAAATTACAATATTACCAAGAATTGTCAAATTTTTTTGTAGGACAGAATTAAATACTGTTTAAGTGAACAATTTGTTTTATTTCTAATAGTTATAGTTTTACAATATATTTTGTCTTGCATATTCCCAAACAAAAATTGCTGCTGTCACGTGGACATTTAATGATCTTACAAAACCTTGCTGTGGTATTTCTACACAATAGTCCATCATTGGCAGTAAGTCACATGGTATGCCCTCTTTTTCATGCCTGAAACAAAATTACAATTATAGTATTGTGTGGATTTCATTCTGTAATCTCGTTAATTAAATCCCTTTTTTCAGAGTGAAATATATCATATTATGCAAAAAATTAAAGCAAGAGTAAAAGAGAGAGTAACGTGTTATATTTTTATATTTTAAGCATTTAACTGTTAGATGTTTAAATCTAAAGAAAATTTTACTAGAAAATAATCCACACGGACCAGAGACTCAAACTCGGGTGCGAGTTTGCTATCAGGCGAATGCACTATACATTATGCTACCGCGGCCCTGAGTGCCGTGTCGAATTACCTCTAGTATTTCTTATGCTGCAAGGCAGCGCCATCTACAACGTGGTTCGTGACTGTATGACTGCACGGAGTCGTCCGCTTTTTTTTTGTTTTATCTTATGATCCAAGCCTGGAAACTTGGTCATATAGTAATTTGTAGCCGCTAAGTCGATTGCGGTCCACCCAGGAGACAAAAAAACTAAATATACAATTCGTATCAGATCAGATATCAGTCACCCTGTATTCGCACGACAGTCGCTAATTCACTAATCTTCTTGCGCAAAACTACAAACAAATAAACTAGCGCAGTAGACGTTTGCGTGTGTAAAACTGCTACTGCGCAGGCTTTCTTGTCTATGATCGTAGCTGAAGAAGTTTGCCGATATGTTTACATTGTGCTCCCCCATGCTTTGGCAGTTGTTGCAATCTACTTCATCTGCAATAGGGTGATTGACTGATGACTATATTTTTTTTCTTCGTTTATCAGGTAGATTATCAAAAAGTATTGGCCACGTATTTTTTCTTTTTTCACATAATATAAACATTACAGAGATATATTGATTTGAAAAGTCGCATGACGTCACGTTTGAGTACACTTTTAAGTGAAAATGCACTGAAAAGTGACGTCACGAGCCCCTACTCCCACACTTTGACGCGCTATAACTTTGTCATTTTTTGGTTGATTGCCCAAAGAAAAAATACGTGTCCATTATTTTTTGAACATCTAACTGACGGACTAAATAGAATTTCGTTTATTGTACCCCGTCATCACCCCTATTGTTAGCATTCACCAAAGAATACTGGGCATGATTCCATTTATAATTATATCCACAGAACAAGTCAAAACCGTGCTCTTGAAGTCATTTATAGGCTGTTATGATTGTTATAATTTATCTCTTATCTATTAGACAAGTCCGTCCGTCCGTCTGTGGTGCTGTTTCAGCGGCCAAACCGTAAGAGATAGATAAAGAGAATATTTAAGTTATAAGTTAAGAATAGTCTGATAAGACTACAAACCGGATTCGAGTAACGTAGCACTTCCGGTTTTCGAGAAACCACGAATTTCAAACGAAACCACACAAAATCTCCGAAGTTCTCAATTAATTAAATACATTTTTTTTAATCAGGTTTTGGTGAACATTTGGTTCACTGGTTTGCTAGTTTTTATTAATTATTGTGCTTTGTACCCAAGCAACAGCAATGTCTTCACTGGAAACTGGAAGTCTTGCAGTTTAACACTGGTGGAGGTTTGTTCAGCAGCCACTACGGAGTACCCTTCAGACTTCTTCGCCATCAGGTATTGTTTGAGAGGCGCCCCTGGACGGACTTCTTCCACGTCTATCCAACGTTCCGCTGACACACTAAAATTAAATGGAAGTTTATTTGCATGAACCATAGTTTGTTATAGTTGGTAAATAATTTAGAGTTCCACATATATCGCCCTTGGAAGAGCATACAAAATACTAATAAATTATTTAAAAGATCTAATTTAAATTGCGTTATAGTTGCATTCCAATAATTATACAATACATGTCAAATTCTCTAACTCAATAGCAATAGCCATTTCTTCATTATTCAACACAATTACAATTGAAAAAAATCGCGGAACAGGCAGCAGACGGGACTCGAACCCGCACCCTTCGCAATCCGAGCGAATGAGCTGACCAATTATGCTATCAGGCGAATGCACTATAATACATTATGCTACCGCAGCCCTGATCGCCGCGTTGAAATTTTCCTATCCTTAAGCTGCAAGGCAGCGCCATCTGTTCGCATTGTAGGTAACCCACAATGTCAAATGAATACTTTTACAAGTACTAAACATTTGAAAGAAGAAATAACATTTATAGTTATGATTTTTTTTTAAGCATTTAACTGCTAGATGTTTAAATGTAAAAGGGTTCGAGTCCCGTCTGCTGCCTGGTCCGCGTGGATTTTTTTCTATTAAAACTTTTCTTTAGATTTCAACATCTAGCAGTTAAATGCTTAAAAAAACAGATAACAATTACAATTATAAGTTTATAATAAGAATTGGTTTGTACTAGTTATAGCATTTACTTATTTACCAGTCTCGTAACTTTATAGCCATTAAATAAGTTAGTGCTTGAATTGATTTGTAATTCTGTTATATACCTTAATGCTTAAGTTATAACAGCTTTTCAGGTACGAAAAACTTCTTACAAACGTAAAATTAAAGTCTGGATAATCCAAATGATGTTGATGTCGATTCTGGCGTGTTTCTCTAAACTTAAAAACGATATTTAAAATGTTTCTCACCTTTTCATTCTGTATAGAGAATGACAAGGCTACACTGTTGTCAAAGGAGATTGCTCAGCTTCCATACATGTTTGGCCTAAAGACCAATAATCATGAAAAATTGTTTCCTAGATTCGAAATTATATATAAATTACTGTAGAAACGAATATTATTGACGGACACCCCTGAGAACTTCTATAAACCATATACACTGAAAATAATAAAATAATAAAAAACAAATAAGTTATATAGTAAACTAGGGAAATCAAGCCAAGTACCGAAATTATGGATTTGATTCAGGTATATAGAGCATGTAGATTAACAGATAGCTGCCTGTTTTTAAAGTTAATGCATGAGAGTAACTTTTAAAATCAGGTGTCATTTCCTGTTATAATAAGGTACTCTGTGACAGAAACTGTGTGATGATTGTGAATGAGCCACAGATTAGAGAGAATTTTTAAACTCTCGTTAACCAAAGAAAGCTAAGAGATTTAGGTTCTATAGCCATATATTCAGTAGCTTCATTATTGTTGTTATGTTTTTAAGATAACTATATTTTAGTTTTTTAGTGTATCACACCTTATAATTTTATTTATTTATTAATTTATAGTCCGGGAACGTAGGCCCACAGATAGATACCTTAAAGTCTAACATATATACAGATTATAATGTGTTTATGGAGGTGTTTGGCGAAAAATGTATGGCAATAGACTTTATGATGTCGCCTACCATATATAATAATTGTCTGAGCACATTTGCATCTAGTGAAAATGATAATATAGTTGTGGATATTAATACCACAGTGTAATAAAAAAAAATATTTATTTTATCGATCTTTACAAAATAGATTTGTTTTTATGTACTTATATACATAAAAACTTATACTTCGATCTTATACTTTATACTTCGTGTATCAGTCTTTGGCTGAAGTATACTACACCTATAGACATTAAAAATGATTCGTATGTATTCCAAACCGGTAAAATTAAAAGTCCTTTTTAAAGTAAATATATTATACAAAGGTGTCCGTTGAAATCTAATGACTGTAAATTAAATTATAAATTACGCCAAGAATTACCATGTATGTCAATATTTTTTGTGCATTTAGGCCAATTTGAGCAATCTCCTTTAAGTTTAGGTTTAGGGAATCATGTTAGAATCGGCTCCATTGTATACCTATAAGATGAAGAGACACAAATGTTTATATTAGTTATCTATAACACAGGGCCCAATCTCCCTATTCCATCCTTAGGGAAGGTCTGTGCCCCAGCAGTGGGGACATTAATAGGCTGATGATGATGATGATGACCCTCGAATGCGCCTACAGCAAGTATTCGAATCCAGGCTCATAGTAGTACTTTTAAAAAAATACTACTTTATGGACCAGTTTATTTCAGTTTTTAAAATCAAATTTTGTAATTTATCCGATTCGAAATAAGCTTTCATGATTGAATTTTTGGACTATCTCTAATGAGTTGTACTTAAGCATTCAATTTGAATAAAGCCTTTTGAATGGGAATGAAATGAACGCAAAAATAAGTAGGTATATTAATTTAAATCTAAAGAAAATATTACTAGAAAAAATTCCACGCGGCCCAGGCAGCAGACGGGACTCGAACCCGGTGTGCTATCCGGGCGAAGGGCGAATGCACTGACCATTATACTACCGCAGCCCTGATGGCCGTGTCGAAATCTTTCTAGCCTTTCTTAAGCAGCGCCATCTCGCATCGTAGGTAACCCACAATGTCAAATGAATACCACATTTGAAAGAAGAACTAGCAATTATACCGTAGGTAGTTATAATTTTTATTTTTTAAGAACGTAACTGCTCGATGAATTAATTTAATCATTTTCACCTTAAGCTTTGAAACTGCTTGTCCTGCAGATGTCGCAAGCTGTCCACGACATACGTCTTCACGCCGAACACCTCGCTGGTCCTCGCCATCCCGCCCAAGTTGGGGAGCTTGTCTATCAGCGACGCCACCACTATCAGTTCGCTCTTGTTCTCCTTCTAAAAATAATATTATGAATTATGCATGGGTCTGCCCTTGTACGAAGTACAGTGCATTCAACTCACACCAAAGCGCGCGGTCATCAGTTTACTTATTGACCCAGTTTATTTTGTGCAATAATTTTAATTATAATTTATTTAAGTTAGTACACATTCGAACACCATTCAAACAGAGTGTGCTCATACCATTACCATTTACCATTTTTACCAGTTTTAATATATGTATTACGAAATTTATTCTTCTCTTTTTATTTTACATTAATTTGTGGGATT